ATCAACCAATCAGAGATGTCATTTTTGAAACATTCAACAATTCTGTATTTAAAATCTCATTCCTACTATTAAAATCAATTATTATTTTATGTCACTTGTTTAAACTCAAGGAGAAAAGAAACAGGTAAGTAATCACCATTGATGATAAAGCTATATATCACTATAAGGAGCTACAAATGCTGAATAAAAAGACACATGATAATTACTAGGTACATACATTTTCAGCCACTCCAAGGAGAACTATAATAATAGGGGAAGAGCTTAATATGCTTAATTGCATAACAATATATACAGTTTAACATTTTCATTAGTCTTTGCATTGCATACTGATGATTGAACTTTTTAAAAATGAATTGTATGAGAAACAGTGCTTAGTTTTAAAACTTCCCTTCTTCCCTCAGGAAACAATCCTTTGTGCTTCATGCTAAGCCCAAGGCTAAAGTTCCACCCGGACCTGATTGAACATAAACAGAACCGTTTGAAATCACTGCTTTGGACTCCACTTCATCTGTATGTTTATACTTCCTGTAAGGGGCCCTCTATTTATGGACAACTGAGGAGCACAAATAATCATCTCCCTCAAGTAAAAGATCTGCTTTTATTATCTGCAAACTTTTGCAGTGCCTTTGTGTACTCTCACGCTGCCTTCTGATTGCCTGTTTATTATTCCAGTGTATCTGCTGAGCCAATTCGGGGAAGAGATCTGGCCAATTCCTAAAGGTGCCAAGCCTTTTTCCAGCCCCTTTCCTGTCCGTGACATCATTGTGTATACCTCTAAAATACACGGATCCGTGTCTGTTCTGCAGCATGGGTGGCACACATCACGCAAAACAAAGGTTAAACACAAGGTGTGCACTCTGTCCTGTGTCATTTGGATATACTGAGTGCAGTCTGATCACATACCAGCCTCCTAGCATCACATTTTTCTAGCCTTTATACCGCTTTCTGTGACTTCTTCACTTTTCAGATGTAATCACTCATTTATTCGGTGCAGCGTGTAACAACAGGCCTCAAAGTAGCCTTTAAATTGACACTCTGGGATTTTTGTGAGCAACCAAAATGTTTGTTTTGCTTTTCTTGAACAATCCTAAGATCTTATCTTTTTAATTTTGTGTGCAACCATTTGTTACAAATAGGTGCTTATTAGACAAAAACGTTGCAGTATTTTCCAGTTGATCAAATAAGAGTTGTTTTTTTTTTAAGAAAGACAGAAAGGTTTTTGCTTAATATTTTTGCAGTCCCTTTTAAAAGAAATAAACTTGGAAAATGCAACAGTTTTCTCACTCACAAGAAATGAAGCACAGAATTTAATTTAACTTTGTCTGAAGTTAGATAAGCTACTAAATTCCAACAACTACAAATACAAACACACGTTTGTATTCTTTTAAATGTTTATTTAGACTTTTTTTATATTAATTTAAGTTAGATACTGATTACCTCCATTCTTTATCGGAAAGATCTGAGAAGAAAAAAAATATTGTAATTTCAAAAGATCTTAAGAAAAAATCAACTGCAGGCTAATTTTCTCTTCATTGCAATGCAATGCTGTTAGGGTTGTTGTTATTAATTCTGTTGTTAGAAATTAGAAGTGACTCTTGCTTTTCTGAAATACTCCTGTTCTTACGTGAAGTAAATTTCTATTTCTATAAAAAGGTTATATCTGAAAAATAGAAAAAAAACAAGGTAATAAAATACATATATCAAGTGTTTGATACTCACACATCCCAAAGAACTGAATGTCAAAATCCAGTTATCTGGCAATTATCTTTATCTTATTGGATTAAAGCTTTGCAAACATTCAGCTTTAAATATATATATATAAACTTGATGTGTTTTATTGTTAAGCACGATGTCTACATAAAATAAAACCATGTATATGTATATCTATGTATTATTACATGCAGGTGCGTGTTTTCAAAAAATAATTTTCTTAAGTTAAAAACCTGCAACAGCAAGATATCCAATGGTGGACATGAGTACAGAAATAGCTGATAATTATGCTATTATATGTTCACAAGCAGTTGTGCTTTTTTTTTGGTCTTCTTTAACTTATTTGTAAAATGCTTTTAGTGGAGAGCACTGAAGAAAACAGATGCATACAGGCAATATTTCTTTCATGTTTTTTTTTTATATTACTAATTTTAACAAAGATATATTTTCTGTCTAATATAACTGAAGTGTCCAACAAGAAATTGGTTTAACTCATTTAAATGTTCCTTTTTGTGATATTAATGCACTTCTTTTTACTCATTTCAATCATGATACAATCAGTCACACAGATAATGCATGTAGCAGTCAACAGGGAATGTTTTTACTGTTGCTGTCAGTTTAACCTATCATCTGTTTTTTTTTTCCCTCTCTGTCTCTCTTTGCTTTAAGTCTATAGGAGGATTTTTTTCCCCTGCTCAGCTTCTCAGATGTCTACTATACAAACAGAATTTATTTGCACCTGCTTCTTATGCGCCCTGTGCAGTCATAAATCGTTTTGAATAAATAAATAGTCCATGAATAAACAAGTTGAGTATTAAAATAGCTGAAATTTGATATTTATTAAGTTTTAAGGGTAAACTGTAACACTGAAAAAAATTATGTAACCGTTTTTGGCATTTACTTAATCATATTTAGTTATTTTAACAAAATTGCTTCATGTTAGCAGGGTAGGACATAAAACAATTGTGTTATAGTATATAAATATGAGTAAGTAAATGCAAAAAACGGTTGCATTATTTTTTCTGTTTATCTGTATAAACACCTATTTTTGAAAAAAATAAAAGAAGGAAAATAACTTCAGTTGATCTACCTCTGAATAATAATATCAATAATATTAATAGTAATATAATTCCAGCTTCACAGTAAAAAGGTAAAGCTTTTTTGTTAACAGGATTTTTTTTTTTTTTTTGGAATAAAAAAGAGAAGGCATGTAATGTGATACAAGGTAAGCATCTATGTTTGACAGGCCTGCATTATTGTGAGTCAGGCTCATTGCTTCATTGGCTTTTTTAAATTTATTTTGGAGTAGTTTGATGATCCATTTTTGCCCCGATTCTCAGGTACTCTCCCCCTTTTAGGGCCTCCTTCCTGTTCCACGCACAGTCTCAGTCTCTCTCTCTCTTTTCTTAAGTACACACACACACATCATGAAGTAGCCTGACTGGAGCAGAACCCTTTCGTGTTGGATTCTTTTAAAAACATCCATTCCTTCATTTGCTCGTTTTGTTTTAAAGTCAAATAAATAAACTAATATCTCTTCCCATACAGCCATGAGCAGCAGCAGACTCTCCCTTTTCTTTCTTCCAGCTTACCTTTTGTCGTCTGAGCAAAGGCAGGCGGCCAGTCTGTGTTGTTTCCTGGAGATAGTCCATTTTTAATCCACCACAGCCCCAAATTTGATGAGATTTTGTGAACGTTGAGTTTTTTTTTTTTAAGTTTTTAGTATGAGGGCCGTGGTGTTGGAGCCCAGCAGCTCGGAGCTCTCTCTGCAGAGCTATGCGCTGCACGGCGAGTCTCTGCAAACTCTGAACATCTGCTCATTTCACGTGACTTTTTAAAAAATACTAACATCTGTTCTAAATAGGTTTCATTCTGCGCCTCTGCATCGTGTCAGTTGCCAACTCCTCTCTTCTGAGAGAAAGGGGAAGGCACATTTTTACACTGCATGAGGGGCTGCTTTTCAAATACATAAAAAAAATGAACTTTTATACCACCAAAACCACTCAGAATGGGTAAGTTTCCCTTAGTTATATAGCCTTGCATTGACTCAGTCCAGTCCCTTCTGCTTTCCCAGAGTCCCAGCCCGCACCTTCGCGGCCTTCTTGGATTTCTTGACATCTGGGAATTCCATACATCCCTCGCGAGGCAATTACACACCTACAAGCGCGCGCGCACTTTGATTTGGACCGCGAGAAATATTTTCCCAGATCAGTGGAGATCAATCATTGCGTGATAACAGTGGGCTCTGAAAGATTTATTTACTGACAATAATCGGGATTGCGCATGCGGATGTCCGAGTTCACACGAAAACAAAGCCTATTGCTGCTGCTACAAACTTATGTCCAGGATATTTTAAAGCTGCTTTACAGCATGGGGCTGAGAGCCACTAAAATGGTGACATGACCTCAGTATAATAATAGGGCTATAGGCACAGACTGTGATCCAACTATAAACAATGAGAGAAAAGAAACAGAAGAGGTCGTTAGATCCTTCATTAATGTGTACACTGCAAAAAAACTTAAATCTAAATAATTTTTTCTTAAAATAAGTGCATTTTTTCTTGAGTTGATCAGGCAAGTGAGGCACTTTGCCAGTGGAACAACACAATTTACACTTAAAATAAGTAAAAAATTATTGCTGTGTCTTATTTCAAGAGCATATTATCTAATTATCTTATTTTAACAGTAAACAATATTTTTCCATTGGCAGATCATCTCATTTACCTACTGAAATTAAGGACAAATTCACCTAATTAAACAGTTTTGTATTTGTAACAGTTTTATCCTTTTAAAAAGTTGCAAAAAAGGTTTCAAAAACCTCATTTTTGTAACTTTTCACTGCGTTTCTTTCAACATCGTTTTCACAACAGGGTAATTATTAGATACTTTTTCTAATCCATTAAAATCCTCAGTGTTATTTGAATTAATTGCATGTGTTTAAGTAAAACACATAACGCATGCAAGTTTACTTAAGGATCTATATTCTCTGCAAATGTCACTGAGTTATTTTAAGAATGAGAAAACAAAACATGAAGAAAAAAAATATATAAATAAAGATCGTCCATCATCTTTTTCTTTATTGCAAAAAATATACAAACATTTACAGAAAACATAATGATATATAAAAAAAAGTGGAATGTGTTTATTATTATTTTTTTTATTATTATTTTCCATTCCAGACACAGGATTTATTTCTCAAGATAACAGGTTTCACCAATAAATAAATAAATGCATACTGAGACTTATTTTTTTGCTTCCTTCCTTCTTTCCTTTCTTTCTCCCTCTTTTTTTTTTTTTTTTGCACAGGTTTGTTCCAAACAGTAAGCCGTCAGCCATGCCATTTGATTTCAACAAAAATAATTTCAGATGTACGCATTAAACAAAGCAAAAAATAAAAAACAACATATATATCTAACATTCGTCGTCAACAATATTTGAGCCCACCAGTATGGGGGCCCATGCTTTAAAATAGAGTCGTCTTCGGCTTGAGTGATCCGATGTTTCCAGCATTGGACTCCAGAATGTCCCTTCAGAATTTGATAAGTAGATTCAGCAGTCACCTGCAGATTAAATAAGGGGATTATTTAGCACTTTGCAAACTCTGGACCTCTGGTTTATAATGCACCATTTTGGATTGCATAATCATCCGAAGCAGTGTAAGGTTGGATCATGCATATAAGTGGGAATAAAACCTAAGCGTACCATTATGGGCAAATAAAAGTCTCCAGATGCTAGTGAGATGTAGACATGGACCAGGCGCCCTCCATCCTCCACACAGAGAAGGCGTAGCTCAGCCTCTCATGAGCCACATAGCTGCAGCTTGACATCTTGGAGTCCAGCTCGTCGCTCTGCAGCACCTGGCAGAGGAAGTCGATGTACCTGGCTGCCAGTTTAAGGGTCTGTATTTTGCTCAGTTTGTCCGATGGCAATGTGGGGATGATCTTCCGCAGGGCCGCGAACGCCTCGTTCAGGGACTGGGTCCTCTGTCGCTCCCGGACGTTGGCCATGACGCGCTGCGACTGGAGCTCCTCGAAGGACTGGGGGCTGCTGCTGCCGGACTTCTTCCCTCTTTTCCCCGGGGTGGGACTGTCCGAGTCGTCCCCGCTTTTCCTGCTGGTTCTCCGCTTCCTCCCGCCGCCTCTCTTCGGCTGCTTGTCCGGCTCTCCCTCGCTGTTGCTCAGGCTGTCCACAGGAGAGACGGGGGAGCTTCCCGACTCTTCCCCCAGATTTTCCTCAGACATCTCCCACCTGAGAAGACCTTGGGTCAGAGAGGGCTCCGACAACTCACTCCCCGCTCATGAGAAGTCAGGGAGAGGATCCACCTGAAGATCCGCCGCAAAACAATCCATAAATAGATTCCTTGGAGGAAAATACTCTTCTGTTAGTTGAGAAACTTAAGAAGTTCTTATAGGCTACTTGGTGTAAACTTTTTTGTTATTTGGGAGGACAGGATTGGCTGAGATGTTGAAATACGCGCATGGAGGGGCGGGAACCTCCGGCAAACTGCTATAGGCGCCCTGCAAAAAAAGCTACAGTTTTTGGGTTAAAGTTTTAGGAGGTGCATCTTAATGAGTTTGAAAAAATAAATCATTATTCAACTGAAAAAGATAAACTGGAGTATTTAGTAGATTTGTTGCACAGAGAGATGTATTCAAGCTCTGTGTTTCTCTTTATTTCCATAGAGCTATACTGTAATTCAAAATATGTATTTAGTTAAACCACAAAATAAAATAAGTTCTGTACATGCACAGGGTATTATGGCCAGGGTGAGAGCAGAGATCTTTGACAAAAGGGTAAATTGTCAAAGAGCAAGGAAAGTTGAGTAGAATGAAAAACAATTGTTAAAAAAAGATGCCTAAACAATACAACTAACTGCAGACAAAAGGTGTGTCAAGTAAAGGGAAGTCACTTTTAGTTGGATCATCTTTTGCAACAGTGTGCTCTGTTTAAATTAGACTGAAATTAAGCATTTCTGGATAAACGTAAACCAAAGGAAAACATACTGCAAGCATTGGGAAGAATGTGTTTTCCTGTGTTCAAAGGTTTTAACAAATTTGTAAGAGGGATTTTAGAGGAAAAATAATCAATTTTAGAATAAAGATCTCAAAGTCATGACCTAATCAATGCAAATTTTAAGCTGACCATAAAACTTTCTTTATGTCTATCTACACATCTGGAAAATCTATGGAAGAAGATAAAGAAACTACAGCACAAACCAGCACACATAACTCTAGAGAGATTCATATACATCATACACTCTATATGCTGTCTTAAGATGCTTTATCACTTTAATCCTTTCTTATATATTTACACATAACAAGTACTTTTCCTTTAGTAGTTTTAAAAACTACCATGAAATATCCCACCATAACAAATTTTTGGTGTGTAGAGACTCAGAAGTCCATGCTGGATGTAAAATAAGAATGGTTTCCAAAACTATTTACACTCCTTCAAATATTTCACATTTCGAAAGAGGAAAAACAACAAATTTAAAGTTAGTTACTGAGTTCTGTATGACAGAACAAGAGGAAGCACTGGACAACTGTGAAGTGGAAGAATAAAAATATATGGTTAAAAAAAAATCTAACATAAATGTGGCAAATGTGGAGATTCTGCCCCTTTTATCGCTGATTCACATCCAGTACAAAAAGCATGCTTTCCAAATGCTAGTCTGTATGTAAAGTCCACTTTTACCATAGATGTTTTACGAAAGTTTTTTGGATGATATATTTTAATAAAGAGCAACATGAAGATCAAGGAACACAACAGATGGATGAGGGAAAATTGTTGTAGAGAAAGAAGTTTAAAGAGGGGGTTAGGTTATCCAGTGTCCCAGACACTGAAAAATGTACAGATAAGTTTCCAGGCCAAACTGGAAAAATTACAAAACAGATAAAGACCTAACAAGACATGATCACCAACTTAAAGCGACAAATCAAGCAAAAGCAAAGTTTATCAAATAGCGGTGAATAGGATAGTGCAACTCTGGAGGAGCTGCAGAGATTCACAGCTCAGGTGAGAAAATCTGATCAAAGGGCAACAATGGAGACAGATGGAAAATAACAAAAATCTTTATTTTAATTTCAGTTACTAATTACCTAGAGCTGGAAATGCTTTGTATATAAAATAACATGCAACAAATTAATGTAAACCAAAGTATAGATGTTTTCATTCATCTTCAGACTAAGTGGTTCAGTTTTTTCCTTCAGAGATGAGAAAGGGGTAGCTCTGTGCTTTTCTCTGCAGCATTAACAAGGCTAGTGATACAATATCCATCTTGTTTAGTGGAGGATTACTTTGTTTAGTTTGAGAAGACGGTGGTCCACAGAAGCAGCATCTGGCTCAGGAAGCATGGGGGCATTCTAGGTCAAGGGTCACAACACCAGTGAAACATCCATTTACATCTTTTTGGAGGCCTCAGAAGGAGGTATTGTTCTAAGAGGAGCACAGGCTTGTTTAAGTTCGGACTGAACTATGTATATATATATAAATTAGGGGTGCACAATTTGGTTGGCTGGCCAAATTCTCAGCCTAAATTTGTTTAATTTAGGAAGATAGGTGATCAGCCGATACGTATATATAAAATCAATGTTTCCCACAGATCTACTCTACCTCTGCAAAGGTAAATCAATGCTCTATCCTCTAATTTATATATTAGAGCAATAACTTATGTAAGAAGTGTTTATTGTTTTGCAGGTACTGATTAATGAATTTCAGTGAGATCAGATTGAAATATTGAAGTTGTTATGACAACCAACAATGTTGGTTATTAAAAAAAATCGATATAAATGAAAAAAAGTTGGCATGTCAGTCTTCGGGAATTGATGATCAGCTATCTATCTATCTATCTATCTATCTATCTATCTATCTATCTATCTATCTATCTATCTATCTATCTATCTATCTA